GAAGGAAGGAAGGAAGGAAGGAAGGAAGGAAGGAAGGAAGGAAGGAAAGGAAAGGAAAGCAAATATATGAGGAAAGACCACTCACTATAATAAAAAAAGTAATATCTGTAATATTACATAGTAGGGAGTATGTAATATTTATTCACCCACTCTCCCAGACCCCCAGCCACCATCAATGGAACCCCTTTCACATGGCTTATTTTCTGACATCTAGTGGTGCCTATGAAGAGAGCCGTTATGCCAGTGATCATCGTGCAGAGAGTGAAAGCAATGTTACTGCTGTGCACATTCCTAAATACTTTTCAATGAAGCACAGAAGTAAATACTTCCAAACACTCCCATGTATCTTCAGAACTACCTGTGAACACGACACATATTACCAAATCAGTATGTAATGTAGACCTTTTTATTGTCCGATCTATATGAGAAAACACATTACGCTCTCATCATGCTCATCTCGGAAGGTTATAAAATGGACAGATTATATATAATTGGACTTGATCGCAAATGCCTGTGGTGCCTCAGAGAAAACTCTGGAGGCAAAGGCAGGGAGATTGCTGCAAGTCTCAGGCCAGCCAAAGCTGCATGCCGAAACTTTCTCTCAAAGAACAGAACAAAATAAATAAGGACAGAACATAGGAGAAAAGGATACTCGTGATGATGAAAAATATCCATATGCAAAGATAAAGGACAATAAAATTGAAAACTATAAATGTGGTTGGTATGCCAATTTTTGTTAGTTTTTAGATATATTACTCAAGATTTCAAATGTGTTTTTATCATTTTTTAAGCTTACCTCATTTTTATGTGTAGACTGGTACCTGCAGAGGCCACCACGTCCCCCGAGGCTGGGGTTATAGGTGCGCCTCCTAACTTGATTGCTTGGAAGTGAACTGAGGTCTGAAAGAGCAGGAAGTGCTCTTAACCACGGAACCATCTCTCCAGCCCTCAGAACGTTGTTTGGAGACTCAGGAACTTACTTGTGTTGCTAAAAACCGAGATGATTGCTCTTTCACATAAGTTAACTAAATATACACGGGAATTGTCTAGGATAGTATACTTAACTAGAAAGCGAGGAGTAAGTCCCTTAACAGTGTGCGCTATCGTTAATTCAACAGGCAGCTTACTAAGCGGTTACCATTGGTGATGCAAGAGAATTATAAGAAAAACAAACAAACAAACAAACAAGCCAGATGGTCTCACACTGAAAACAGACAACATGGGAATTAAAGAACCCATTGTCTTCAAAATAAATATTTTATTTTATAGTTGTCAGTACTATTGTTCTTTCTTTAAAGTCATGGTGATTTCATGATCTGATGGGCTTGAGGCGGCAGCCCTTGCTGTGTAAGCATAAGGGCGGCCTGTGTGCAGATCCTCAGAATCCACCTACTGGGATAGGGCAAAGGCAGGCAGACCCCTGAGGCTTGCTGCCCAGACACTCCAACGAAAGCTCAAGGCTCAGTGAGAGCCCTTGTCTCAAAAACTAAAGCAAAGAGCAATAGAAGATATCTGATGTCAACATCTACCCAAACACACACATTTTTTAATCAATCTCATTTTCTCTTCCAGGTTTTTATATGAATATTCCAGTAATTATGGACAAGCTCCTCTGCCACTTTTAGTTGGCTACACCAAGAGTTATCTCTCTATGGTCGGATCCTGCTGTACTTCTAAAAACCCAACCAAATGCTTTGTGAGGGAGGTAGGCTCCATTAACTTATTACTGCAATGTATCTTTTTTCCATCCTAAAATGCTATTTCTTTTCAATAACGGGAGAAGTTGATATTTTGAAATTAGCAAAAGTTTCTAAAATACCTTCATTGTATTTTGTTAATTGGAAAATAGTTACACCTTAAAGGAGAGAGCAATAAATAACAGTGGCTAGAGCTCGGCATTACATTGATTTTAAAATGTCAAGCAACCAAAATATCCCTTTCTGCTATTCATGCACAGAAAATTCCATTGGTTTTGGTTATCTAATATAATTCTCACTTTTATTTTCTAGCGACTGCAGCTTAAACATTTATCACTTCTCACCACCATGTCGAACAGAGTTTGTTCACAATATGCTGCATATGGAAAGGAGAAATCAAGGCTCAGGTAAGGGCTCCACAGCATCTCCATAGTTAGAAGCTTGTTCCTTAGCTCTGTATCTGTAATACGCGTGTGAAAGAAGCTGTAGAATACAGTCCACTAACAAGCCATATGAACGCTCAGCCGCCTCCTCTAGGCTGGCCTTCATTTTTCTTTTACACTTTGTATTTTTTGAAGTATCACTTATCACATGTACATTGCATAATTAACCATGGATTATGCTGGAATTAGTGTCTAGGAATTCACTCCAAGGGATTAGCATTTGATGTGCTGCCATAATTTTTATTTAAATATATTTTTTAATTTCTTCACTTTACATCCTGATCATAGCCCCCTTCCTCGTCTCATCCTGGTCCCAACAACCCTCCCACTCCCCCCCCACACACACACACACTTTCCTTCTCTAGTCCTCAGAAAGGGGGAAGACCTCCTTCTCTACCAATTGACCCCAGCCTATCACGTCTCATCAGGACTGACTGCATCCTCTTCTGCTGTGGCCTGGGAAGGCCACCCTACCAGGGGGAAGTGATCAATTTTTAATAAGAAAAACTAGAATGGAAAAATATCTCAACTGTACTATATAAGCATAAAGTATACCAGTGCTTCAAAATTATACTGTAAAAGCATGCTCAATGAAGAGCATAATACATTGTTTGGAGAAATCAAAGACGATACAGTAAATGGAAAGGACCTCCGTGCTTGTGGTTTGAAGACTTAAAACTGTTAAAATGTCATACTAGCCAAGTGAAGTAATATACTACAATACCAGCAACTTGGGAGGCTGAGACAAGAGGGTAGTCATAAGCTCAAGGCTAGCCTAGGCTAAATAGTGAGTGCCAGGCTAGACTGGGCTACATCGTGAGACATTGTCTCAAAAAGTAAATTAGTAAAAATAATAAATAAAACAAGTTGCGGTACTACTTAAAGCAATGTACATAGTCAAGTCAATCTCTTAATGCCATAATGGCATTTTTTTAAAGAAAAGGGTATTTATTAGTTAACTTTTATTACTGTAACAAACACCTAAGGTAATCAACCTATAAAGAGAATGGCTTGTTTTTCCTCACAGCTTTTAATGTTTCAGTCTATAGTAGGTTGGCCTCGTTATTTTGGCCTTTGTTGGCACATTGAATGACAGCATAGAGTAGAGAAAACCACCACCTCTTAGCTAGAAGTAAATGGCTAGAAGAGGTGGAGGAGGTTCTACATGTCCTTTAAAAGTCAACTCCAAATGACCTAAAGACTTCCCAGGAAGGCCCAGCACTCAAGGATTCCACCACTTTCTAACACCATCACTTGAGTTCAAACAGCCCAGAACCAGACTTCATGACCATCTATAAATTAATAATTTTTCTTAAGGGGACCTCAAAGGACTCCAGATAAACAAAACCCTTGAGAAAAATAACAGCGAGGCTTACAACATCTGTCAATCAACAATAATCAAGTTGAGCAGAATAGAAGGCCCAGAATTAAATTAGCATATTTGGTCAAATGATTCTCTGCAAAGGTGCTAAGAGTATGCAGCAGACAAAAGCTAATTTCTGTTACAGTGTTGAGAAACTAGATATCCACATGTAAAAGAATGAAGCTGGACCCTTACCTTATGCCATTAAAATTCTAAATGTAATATCAATAATTTTAAAACTCATAGAAGAAAACAGGAGGAAATTTTCAAGGCATTGGCTTTGACAATATGATGCTCAAATAGAAGTAAGAAAAGCAAAGTCAAGAGTAACTGTATCAAACTTTATAACTTCTATTCAGAGGATATAATCACCAAAAAAAGAGACAATGAGGGAAAACACTGGTGAATTATATCTAACCAGAAGGTAATCTTCAGAATACATAAAGATTCTATAACTCAGTGACAAAAATACTGAATTAAAGGAGATTTTATAAAACATCTTAAAAGACAGTGCAATGCCATGCTAGCGTAACACTGGCATTGTGAACTGCTTTCAGTCCAAAATATGTGGAGATATGGCTGGAAGGGAAGCTATGTCTCAGTGCTGAGTAGCTGAAAACCTTCCCTGAAGATGGCTTCATCTTGAGCATACTGTAGTGTGTGGCGTAGGTCACATGGCAGGTGTGCTCCACGCACGTGTTGATGCCAAAGGCTACATTCTTCCTCTTAGCAGTATGTCTGTAATGAAAACTAGAAAACTAAGTATATTAGTTCACTAACAATATTTTCTATTATTTTAAACTATCTAGCCATCTCATAAAACTGGCCCAAAAAGTGCCAACTGCAAACCTTGAGGACGTTAGACCACTAGCTGAAGACCTCACTGAAACGCTGTCCAGATGTTGTGAGTCTACGTCAGAGGACTGCATGGCCAAAGAGGTGAGGTGGTCCACGTGATCATCATCACGTGCTGCTCTGAGCGCTGTGAACTGACTGCCAGACAGTGTTCTCAGCTGCTTTTCACGTGTGTTATTCTAACATCCCTACAGGCATTTACAAAATATAAATACATCCCCAACTTTGACTCACAGATTAGGAAATGGATTAATGAGGGTATTTGGGACCCCTCAACCAGTGACAAAATCCACATACATTCAAGGACAAGATTCCCAGATTCCCAAGCCTTGCACTGTGTGGAGTATCCACTACCCACACACAGTTATTCAAATTTAATTAGAGTTGTCAAATTGAACACAATTTAAAATACACTTAAGGCATAAAGTCTTATTAGTGATGACACTATCCAAGTTGGCAATGTTTTTATTATACTTTGTACAACTGGGTAAGCAAATCAAATTTGCAGAATATTCTCAAGTTGATACAAATTCAGATGATTACGTTATATGAAGAGCAGTCTCCGAAGTCTTATTGACATTTAGGGTAGACGCGTTAAACTGTGTAGTCATTTTCCATTAAAAATACACAGTTGTATGAATTGATGCTCTGCTCTGCTGATGTGCAATGGCGAATAGGACCCTGCTGGGTTGTCAGTTCTATGCATTACATCATCTCCTGAGGTGCATCATATTTTTAACTAATCTCCAGTAGTTGTATTTGTGTTGGCTTTTTCAGTATTTGAAACAATGCCATACTTTCTATCATTATAGCTCTAATTATTTTAAGCATGAATTATTCTGTTTGGTTTTAATTAGCAGAAAGTTCTGGGGTTCAATGTGAAATTTTCATAAATGGCACACACATGTACACACACACTCTCTCTCTTAAAGGTGAAATTGGACTTTATGAACTCCTATGTATTAACAAACTCCCCTCCCAAGTATTGCTTCAATTTGTTTTCTAAGAGCATTCCCAGTGTTATTTATCAATATCATATCAGGGATTTAATGCCTAGGTTTTATCTTTTTAGCTAGACCAATGAGAAAACCAATCACACAGATCCACCATTCTCTTTGCAGCTTCCTGAACACACAATAAAAATCTGCAAAAACTTATCCAAAAAGAATTCTAAGTTTGAAGAGTGCTGTCAAGAACAAACACCTATGAACGTTTTTATGTGCACCTACTTCATGCCAGCTGCCGAACCACTTCAATTGCCAGCCATCAAGCTGCCCACAAACAAAGAACTGTGTGGTCAGGGTGCCACCCAAGCAATGGACCAGTAAGTTGGGTTGTGGTGTGAAGTGTTTCCGTTATACCAGGATGAAGGCATCTCCACAGGGGGGCAGACTGAAAGAAAGTAAGCCGTTCCCCCTTTCAAGCACAAGTCTCCTTATATGGTTCTATCGAGTTTAAACATCTGTTAACGAGTTTAAATGACACCAAGTCTTTAAACTTGGTTAAGGAAGGAGGAGCCCGTGGTTCTTTAATCTCCATCTTGAGATTAGTGTGCACAGGCAAAAGCCTTTCTGACTTAATTTGCTCCTTAGCTGACCTGAGAATGACAATGACTTACTGAGTGCAGAGGTAGCCACTAAGAAAGGCACCTAAAGCTGAGTAGTTATGGCACATGCCTTTAAGCACTCAGGAGACAGAGGCAGGTAGATCTCTATGAGTTTTGAGTCCAGCCTGGTCTACAAAGGATTGCCAGGACAGCCAGAGAAAGCCTATTTTGAAAAAAAAAAGAAAGAAAGAAAACAAAAAATGAAAAAAGGAAAGAAATAAATATTTCTACTATAAAATGTTTTATAATGTTCCATACATATAATACATATCATGATAAAATTAATATGTGTCATGCTATCTCCCAGTTTGACTATATTCTATCCCAAGTCACAAACAAAACCCTAAAAATTTATCAAACTTTTGGAGAATAACTATCTGGTAACAAGTAAAACATCAAACTTAGAACATTCCTTCCTTAGCAGTATTGATATTAAAAAGAGATTAAATAGAAAGAAATAATGAAACTTAATTTTTTTTTCATCTAACAAAAGAGAAACAAAACAAATACACAATGTATTACATATGTTATAAATATCTTCATACTCGTAGCATAAAAATAATTTAGAAACAGCTTTAAGAAGATAATTAGAATGTCAGTAGTCCATGTAAGAAAGCAGAATTTAAACAGAAGTAAAACTAGCACGCATTTTTCTTCTAAATACTAATTGATTTGATAAATACACAGATAGCAATTAGATAAGCCGAAATGGAAGATTTTGAATAAATTTCTGTACAGAAAACTTGCTTTAAAGTACCCAGCTAACATCAGCTGTGTGTGGGAGTGAGCATTATACTCACAGAAAAGATATGTCCATACGAGCTTAAAGTAGTATGATATGTTTATATGTGTTTTATTGTATATATGGATGGTGAAGTTATTAAACCAAGCATTAATCAAATATTTTCATGAAAATGTTGTCTTAGAGCTACTTTACAAGGGGTCAGTTTGTATTAAAGTGTTTTTAAAATTATGTTCTACAAACGACAGTAAACGGACTCAGCAGGTTGCACTTACGGATTTATTCACACACCCGCGTATATAACACAATAATAATTAAAGAAAAAGAGAACATGAACTTGAGAGGGAGTAGAGCAGACATGGGAACAGTTTCAGGGAGGAGAAGGAGGATTACATTTTAAATAAAATTCAAAAAAGTTAACAAATAAAGGAAAGTCAGGCATTCCAGTAGATGCCTGTGATGTTAGCACTAGGAAGACTGAGGCAGGAAGTGAAGCAGAAAGTCTCAGGATGAAGAGGGACCCATCATCTGTGCTGTGAGCTCCAGAAAGAACTGGGCTGTAGAGAGTAAGACTGCCTCAAGCAAAATCACACAACAAGCAGAAATAAGGTGTTCCTTCTGCCTCTGGATCGTTTCATTTCTGATTCTGGACCCCAGGCACACCTTGAAAAGTGTCCTCTCCTCTTCTGCCAGGTACACATTTGAACTAAGCAGAAGGACTCAGGTTCCAGAAGTATTCCTCAGCAAAGTGCTGGAGACCACGCTGAAGACCCTCAGGGAGTGCTGTGACAGCCTGGACTCCGCAGCCTGTTTCAGCACTCAGGTAGACTTTGCTAAGTTTCTTTATCCATAATGTGGGCCAAGATTGGCATACTGAAGATTACGGATCAAACCTGGTCTACTGCATACTTACATATTTCCTGTACGTTAATGATGAAAACGTGGTTTATGGTATATTTGTGCTTACTGTGGGGAAAAAAAGTCAAAGAAAGATTGATAATTAAGTAAAATTCAATTTGCAGTGGCCATCGAAACGCATTGGAGGACCAGCACGCACTTTGTCATATGTGCTTTTTTTCTCTGCTACTGTGAGAGAAGGATATCTGGAATAGAGATCATATATGGTCTACAAAGGCTAGTATTTTACTAACTGGCTTTATGCAAACAAGAAGGAAAGAAAGAAAGAAAGAAAGAGAGAAAGAAAGAAAGAAAGGAAGGAAGGAAGGAAGGAAGGAAGGAAGGAAGGAAGGAAGGAAGGAAGGAAGGAA